TTTCTGCCAAAGCTCCATGTAAATACTTAAGTTCGACAAAAATCCACATGTTAAACCGAAAGGGCCTGCTTGGACTTTTGGTATAACGATTGCAAGCGGATGAATAAACTGCTACAGTTCTGCATATTTTCGCCTTTCGCTCCCACGCCTCACACGGATCTGTTTATTGCGTAATAATACAACTACGTAACATATTCAAATCCATGATCTGCAATTTTCGTCCATGGTTTGCACGCTTACAGTACATACTATCCGTTTATTTCGGTTTCCTCAGTTTCACTGTCACAAACCACCGCGATCGCATTAATTTGACTGAATTTCATGTGAATGAGGACATAAACGACGGATCCGATGTCAATTTTTGGACCGATTTTGTCCCCAGCTTTGCACAATTATGTTAAGATCTATTATCTCAGGTATGTTGTACACCGGCTGTCTTCGCGTCGCTTCAGCCGTCCGTGGGGTAGATCGGGACAGTTATGTCTCAGTTGTCATTAGGTCCTCTACGTAAAACACTACACTCGTCTCGTGAATTATTTGCCGTCTACACCTCTCGCGAACCATTACATTCACAATGTTAACTGTTTGCCGCTCATCTAAAACGTTTTAAAGGATGCAGCGTATATTTATGCCATTCCTCATGCTTAAGGTTCACATAAGTATAGAAGTCCAGTGCGCCCAACAACTTTTCAGACTTCACTGAATATTACTTTCACTTTTCTGACTATTATAATTGCTATAGAGATTTGCATACATGTAATCCGTAACAATACAAGATTCTTCATCGTACAATACTTTCATTGCCTCGAGAGGTCGCATAGCTCTCCAAATTAGAAAAAAAGGTTAAACATTCAGTCATTATTGCTATTAGGCCGAAGCCTGGTTGTCCATAAGGCCAGCGGTTATTATCATTCTAGGTCATTAAGCAGTTCATCTTACCATGAGGCAGGCGCTAGACGAAATCCCATCCTTGCAACCCAGTAACGCTTGTGTGAACCGGGAGCAAATCTCTAAATTAAGTACGAAGACCTAACTATAGGTAAAGTTGCTAGTGTTACGTATCTACTTTCCCTGTCAAGATTTCAAAGACACAGTTGATGCTCTCTTGGCTAAATTTTGTTACTTCATAAAGCGATCACTAAGACGATATGAAGCATGGGAAATTTCAGATAATCTGAATTATTCTATCAAGCGATCAACTCACTTAGGTTGTATCCTTCATTTTAGTCTTAATCTCACTGCTCGCCTCAACGGCAAAATCAATGACAGCTGGTAGCTCACAAATCGTTTTGATCAAACGTAATATTCGTGTTAAACTTCAGCCTATTTTTACGCGGTATCCACGTGGTGAGCAAAAGCGCTTTTCATTAACAACGCGTTCGATTGAACGCTCTCATTCTCGCTAGCTTCTAAAACTAAACTCTAATGGAATCACAAACTTTCCTCCTTGATAAGTTAACAGTTCAAAAAACTAGTGAAGGTTTGCTTATTAGAAGTTTGATTCAGGCAAATATATAATCGCTTTGGTTACTGGCATGGCAAGTCCGTACGCTGCAATTGACTAGGGTCAGATATATGCTGGGAGACGGTGTTAAACATTCCTCCGTTTATTAATAGAGTACGCCTGTTCCGTTTATTTTACTCTGCATATCAACCGTCTTCTGACGGAAAGCCGGAGTCTAAGCAATTGCGATGATTGCCAAACTAGCGGCTGAGAAATCCGTGGTCATACTTGCACGTATTGAACCTACACTAGTCCTCAACAAGGTATCTCTGGTATACATTCAATGAGCGTGGGAAGGGGTGTGTTGAGAGGCCATTTCAGTCCAACCCTTCCTCTTAAGTGCGATGGAGTTTTCTCCAGTTGGGAACTTCCCAAGCCATGACCCTCGACGTGTCACGATGGCTTAAAATTGCGGCTAAATGTTTATGGCGAGCAAAACAACCAAGCCCCGGGTCGGATACTATTTATTTTCGTTGTTCCACCGCCAGCAAGTTCGACTGAAACTGACTGGCTATGGGTTTAGACGATGTCGAGGTTCACGCCGAACGCGCGACACGTCCAAGGCCCACGTTTACCCTGCCGTGGTTTAGAGCGTTTGTAATTGCTGATGATCAATATGAATGACTTTCCGTAGATTAATGACAACATTTCACGCAACTGCCGATGGTGTCCTTGAATTAGCTTAATATATGGTTCCTGGATCTGTGGGCCAGGTTGCTGAGCCTACTTGTCGTAATTTGTGGTGACCCCAATGCCAAACGAGCCTTATTCAATATGCAGTTTGGGCACAAATTAGTCCTGTCCAGGTGACGATCCCTTTAAGTATGACAAGAGAAAGTAGCATAATTTAAACCGGTCATTTATGCTTACCTTGTCAGTTCCTACAGAACCCAAAACTGTCCGACTTTAGATTGGTTCTGGATGCGAGGGTGGAGGGCGGCTGTGCATAGCGCTGAGATTCCGAGAGCATGGACCCAGCTCATATAGCAGAGCGGTGGAGTGAGCATCCAAACTAAGACCGATAAGCTGGTTGGTGACTCATATTCGGCTACGCAAGGTCTGCTTACAACAGTTGATATTGTACTGAACAGGCAATTCAAACTTAAATACCAGAAACGCACAAAAGTCACCCCTTTTCGATATTAGTGGCCTGAGAAAATTAGATGCGTTGGCTGACATGAACACCTCAACAGTGGAGTTCGTTTTGTATCATACAAGTGGTCCTATAATTACTCTTTCGATAGTATAAGCAGTCAACCTATTTGGGTGGGCCATGTTTCTTCATGTCGAAAAATCCCACACAAACTTGATATCTTTTTTCGTTGGAACCGGGTGTGATAGAGAAAGGGGTGAACCGTGAATACACGACGTAGTTCGGTGGCACTCCTGTGGAGCGATAGGGTAACGGAAGATCCTCTCACGTACTCAATGTACGGTAACGCAAACGTGTTTACTAAGAGTTAGGGGGGTCATTTCGCAGTAGAATTTACTCCCTAATTTACCCGATGTCTCCGTCTTGACCCTGTCTATATGAATCCCGCTTCTCCGACCGAATCTATCCTACAGTTCCAGACGCGTCGGCTCCAGTGATAAGTCAGATAAGCAAGTCTGATAACGCCTTTGGCAGACCATTGTCTTTTGGTGGTAACTTCGTAACGTGAATAATTATCAGTGGAACGCTAGTATCACGATGCCACTGGCGCACTCTACTCCCTATGGACTTAATTTCCCGCCTGTGCGTTAGTTTCTGTGCGGTCGGAATTGCAGGTTTGAGTCACGAGGACGTGTACGCCAGTTGCCATCTCAGTAGCGCCTGCACTAATGGGTGCGGTCCCCTGACCCATCGTACATAAAAAAGATAAAATCATAGACATAGGAAATCTTTACTCTAAGTATTTAAAAGTGATAGAAGCGAACAGAAATAAGATAAAACCAGAAATAAAAAGTAAATTAGACGTATTTGATAATAAAAGTGAAAAGAAACGAAATGTGAACCGATGGCACAACTGGTCAAAATCAAGTCTGGAAGGTTTAGGGTGGCGCGCGAGGCGGGAACAGAGAGCTGAGCACGCGTGTCTTACTGGAGTTTTAAGGAGGCGCTCGTAAAGAAAGTCGAGGAGTCGGCAGAGGTAGAGGATAGAGACTGTACCAGGAACGCTTTCTTCTCTACAGGTAAATGACACGGTCTTCATTCCATGAGTGGTTCAGGTCCTCTAAAACAGTAAATATGAGCCAAATTAGCAGTAGATAAATATGACAGGCACTTGGATGGAGGGAATGAAGCCAGGGCAGATGAAACAGACTCAAATCATGATGAGGGCGGGGGGAGGAGAGGGGGGTGACATGCGTTGACAGAAGTCAGACTCGGGCGGTGTGCCCATCGTGCTGCACATTCAGTGCGTAGGGGTGACGAGCAAAAGAAAATGTGGGAAGCGACACCTCACCAGTGCTTAAATCCCGCTCCTCTTTGGACGGTGAATTCGACTCTTCAGACTATTTTGATGGAACGTCAGAGTGGAGAGAGAAGGGATTAAACAATGAGGACTTGGTCGAGATGGCTGCACAGTAAATTCAGCATGTAAGGTGGTAAATTTTATGCGAGATGCGCAATACGAGGAGGACTGTCAGCCTGTCAACGGGGCTCAGATAAACTAATGCTGAAGAACTGGAGGTAAAAGCAACAATATGCGAGCTGGAATTTTCAAGTGTTAAAGTACTAACCAGTATATGGGGCTGGTTACGATCACAAATGGGAATCACATGCTTGCCTGGTGAACGAAGTCTTATTAGATGAATTTTGAGAGATGGCATGCAACAG